GATGATGATGATGATGATGATGATGATGGTGGTGATGGTTGTGGTGATGATGATGATTATGTTGGTGGTGGTGATGATGATGATGCTGATGTTAATGATGCTGATGATGCTGACGATGATGATGCTGATGATGGTGCTGATGCTGATGCTGATGATGATACTGGTGGTCGTGATGATGATGATGTTGATGATGGTGGTGGTGGTGATGCTGATGATGATGCTGATGATGCTGCTGATGATGCTGATGCTATTGTGCGGTTTATGATGATGATGTTGCTGATGATGCTGACGATGATGGTGATGCTGATGCTGCTGCTGATGCTGATGCTGATGCTGATGCTGCTGATGATGATGATGATGATGATGATGGAGGTGGTGGTTATGATGATGATGATGATGATGATGATGGTGGTGGTGGTGGTGGTGATGATGATGATGATTATGCTGCTGCTGCTGGCTCTGATGATGATGATGCTGTTATGATGTTGATGATGCTAATGCTTATGCTGCTGATGCTGATGATGATGCTGATGATGCTGACGAATGCTGATGCTGATGATGATGCTGATTCTTATTCTGATGCTGATGATGATGAGCATGATGATGATGATGATGATGATGCCGATGATGATGATGCTGATGATGATGATGATGCTGATGACGAGAGGATGGTGATGATGATGATGATGATGATGATGATGATGATGATGATGATGATGATGATGTTGCTGATTCTATTTTGACGTTGATGATGCTGTTGATTACGCTGCTGCTGATGATGATGATACTGCTGCGGATGATGATGCTGACGATGATGATGCTGATGATGATGTTGCTGATGCTGATGCTGATGATGATGCTGATGGTGAGAATGGTGGTGGTGATGATCATGATCATGATGATTGTTGTCGTGGTGATGATGATGATTTTGCCGCTTTTGCTGAGTCTCATAGTAATGATGTTGATGATGCTGATTATGCTGCTGATGGTGATGATGCTGATGATTAACATGATGAACATGATGATGATGATGCTGCTGATGATGATGATGCTGATGATGATGCTGATGATGCTGATGCTGATGATGATCATGTTGATGATGATGATGATGATGATGATGATGATGATGATGATGATGATGATGATGATGATGATGATGATGATGATGATGATGATGATGATGTGATGATGTGATGATGATGACGATGATGATGATGATGATGATGATGATGATGATGAGGATGAGGATGAGGATGAGGATGAGGATGAGGATGAGGATGAGGATGATGATGATGATGATGATGATGATGATGATGATGATGATGATGATGATGATGATGATGATGATGATGATGATGATGATGATGATGACCTCGCGGCCCTCTCGGGGCTGCCATTTCGGAACTGCCCTCTCGCGGTCATCTCGGGGAGGCCAGGCGGCTCACAGCGGTGGCGCGCCTGCGGAGCTCTGGCCGGTAGAGGGTTCTCGGTCGCGCGGCCGGGCTCGCCTCGAGATCCTGGTCGGGGTGCAGCCCCCCCCCCCCTGGGGAGAGGTCTGGGGGGGGCGATCTTTCAGGCTCCCCCTGGGATCGGCGGCGAGCGAGGGGGGGAGATGAGAAGGAGATGAGGCCTTCTCAGAAGGCGGCGGGGCGGGCTTCTCAGCAGCCCTCACCCGGCCTTCTGAGAAATGCTCTCTGTGTCTTCGGGGAAGGCTCGGAGATCTTTTCTCAGAAGGCCAGAGGACTTCCGAGTGTTCTGAGGAGGCCCGCCCCCCCTCATTTTCCCCCAGGACGCGCCGCCGACACGAGGTCACGGGGTCTTGCAGGTGAGGGTCCCGAGAGTTTTTCGCTATCCTGGGGCGGCCCCCCTGGGCCCGAGGACAGTCAGAGAAGCCGAGTCGGGATGCACCTGCCACCACGTCCGAGCCCCTCCCTTGCGGGCCCAGGCATCCCTTCCTCGGGTGCTGAGCCCAAGCTGGCGTTTCAGAAATCTGGCCTGCAGGGTCACGAGTGCAAGTGGTCAAGTGGTCGCCCATCGGTGCGCTCGCCTCGCTTGGAGGAGGGGTGCGGAGGGGAGGGGGGTCAACCCTGAGGGACCCATACCTCTTCGCGTCGTGACAAACTGGCCACTGGAAGTAGATCGGGGCCTCCCTGGCCGTCCACGCAGTGATAGACATCAGGAGGTCGGACGGAGGCCTGGGAGGAACGAGGACCGGCGGGGGGACGAGGAGGAGGAGGAGTGCGGAGAGAGGATGACGAGGAAGGGGTGAATGGGACGACGACGGTGGTGATGATTGCAGTTGCCACGATAGCAATGGCGATGGTGATGATTATAATACTTCTAGTAAGGATGATGCTGATGATGACGATGACGACGATGATGGTGGTGATGGTGGTGGTGGTGATGGTGATGATGACGGTTGTGATATTGGTGGTGGCGATGACGATTATCTGCTGCTGCTGACGCTGATGATTATGATGAAGAAGATGATGATGATGATTCTGGTGGTGGTGATGATGATGATGACCATGGTGGTAATGATGCTGATGATGATGACGATGATGATGACGATGGCGATGACGATGACGATGACGATGATGGTGATGCTGATCATGTTGATGATGATGATGATGATGATGGTCGTGGTGGTGGTGATGATGATCATGATGATGCTGCTGATGATCATGTTGATGGTGATGACGATGACAAGGACGATGGCGATGATGATTCTGATGTTGCGATGATAATGAGGCTGAGGCTGAGGATGATGATGCCGATGTTGATCATGCTGCTGCTGATGATGGTGATGCCGATTATGATGATGCTGGTAATGATGATGATGATGATGATGATGGTGGTGGTGGTGATGATGCTGATGATGCTGATGATGATGTTGATGATGATGCTGATGCTGATGATGCTGATGATGCTGATGATGCTGATTATGCTGCTGCTGACGCTGATGCTGATGATGATGATGATGATGATGGTGATGCTGATGCTGGTGATGATGATGATGATGATGATGATGATGATGATGATGATGATGATGATGATGATGATGATGATGATGAGTATGATGCTGCTGATTATGATGATGCTGATGCTGCTGCTGATGATGATGACGATGAGCATGATATGGTAATGATGATGATGATGCTGTTGACGATGATGAGGATGCGGATGATTTCTTTGATGATGGTGAGTGACGATGCTGCTGCTGATGGTGATGATGGTGGTGGTGTTGACGATTCTGATGATGATGGTAAGAGTTGCGGTGGGTTTGGTGATGGTATTGATTGTGATGCTAATTTGTGTTTGTGAGGCGTCTGATTCAGTGTAGGATGCGTTTCTAGTGAGTTGTCGAGTGATAGCGATGATGACGTTGCTGGTGATTGTGATGGTGATGGTGCTGGTGCTAGTAGCCATGTTTGTCTTAACGGCCTTCGGTCCATCCCGTCACCCTGCCTTGTTACCAATGCAGTCCGTTCGTGTCATATCTTCTTTAGTCTCATTTTCTGTATGACTCAAGTGGTACCCTGAAAGTAACACCTGAGTCAGATCGTCTGAATTGCACCAAGGCGGTATCACTTTCAAGCCTTTCTCGGGGCCCTTTTTGGGGCGGTCTTGGCTCCCTCTGGGGCTGTCTCGGGGCCCACCTTGAAGCCTAGTGGGGCATCTTGGAAGCCGCTTGGGTGCCTGTTGGGGGCCTCTTGGGTCCCTCTTGGGGCTTCCCGGGAGCCTCACGAGGCTCTTGGAACCTCTTGGAGACCTCTTGGTGCGTCCTGGGGGCCTCGGAGGGCTCGGAGACGTGGGCTCGCGTTCTCCCTCTTGGGCGCCCCTTGGGGCGTTCTGGAGGCCCTCTTGAGCCGTCGTCAAGGAGGCCTCATGGGCACTCCTCCTCCTCCTCCTCCTCCTCCTGCTCCTCCTCCAGTCTGGGGGACTTCTTGGGCCGTCTGCAGGCTCTTTCGGAAGCCCCTTGGGCCGCCTTCGGGCGATGCTCGGGACCTCCTGGTCAGACACCAAAGCAAGATAGTTGTTGCTTCTTTTTTCGTTGTTTTGCAGATCGGCGCGGGCCGTCGCACCCCCCCCCTCCCCCCCTTGGAGTAGAGCTTGGCTGTTTTTTGGCGCCTGTTTCGAGCAGGTGGAGTCCCTCCCCCATAGGACGCACTGCTGCAAACAGTCGCACTAAGCAGAGGTCGGGGGCCAGACCCCCCACCTGCCCTCCTTTTCGCTCAATGTCGAAACGCCAAATATGAACACGCTTACATAAGTGATTTTTGCTTCTCGGGGTCCTCTTCGGAGTGCTCTGGGAGGCCTCTTTTGGGCGTCTTGGAGGCCTTCTGGGCCGTCTGGAGGACATCTGGAGCGACTTGGACCGACGGTCTGGCGACTCGAGGCGCTCCTAGACCATCTTGAAGGTCTCTTGGGGCCCTCTTGGACCGTCTTTGGGTCCCTCTTGGCTCGAAGAAGTCATCCGGGAGCACTTGCCGGGACCCCAGGGACACGCCTGGAGCCCTGGGAGATTTGAGATTTGGGATCTGGGCCCCTGACACCAAAACACATCTGTAGGATGGGATTCAGCAAGGGACCCGAGGGTACTCCCAGCTTGTGCCTCGGAGGCGCTGCGGTGGATGTGGTGGCCTTCGGTCCATCCCGCCGCCGTGCCGGGGCTGCGGGGCAAGCGCACATGTGGCTCGTCTGCCCGAGGAGGCGAAGATGGGCATCACGTCGGAGCGAGGGAAGGCCGCGTGCACTGGGAACGGGGAGGGGCATGGGAGGGGCTGGCAGGGGAGGAGAGGGGAAGGTAGGGAACGGGGGAGGCCCTCCCCCTTTTCCCTGCCTCCCTCCCTTCCCTTTCCTCCCTACCTCCTACCTTTCCCTGCCTCCCTCCCTATCCTGGCAGCCCCTCCGCGGGAGGGGCTGCCAGGATAGGGGAGGGCAGGGGCGGGGACGGCATGGGAGCGACGGCGACGGGTGGGGGGGCTTCCGCGTCGCAGGAGAAGAGGCCCGCGGAGGATCTCGAGTACCCCAAGGAGCTTCTGCGCGGCGGGCGTTGGCGGAGGAGGCTACGCAGGGGGAGGACGAGCAGGGACGAAGATGGTTGAGGGGGGAGGGGAGGGATGATGAGCGAAAGGACGGGGGGAGGAACACACATCTGATGACGACGATAGTGATACTGAGGAGGAGCATGGGAGATGAAAGACGGATGCTACGGGGGAGGAGGAACAATACGAAAATAATGATTACGATAAGGAAGATGAGGACACGGAGCGAGGAAGGGCAATGGGCATTACGCATACGAGCACGATGTGGAGTGGTGGAAATTCGTGAGGATTCTAATGACGATTTGATGAACAGAAGGAGGCATGATGAGGTTACGAGAAAACTATGAAGTAGAGGGAGGAGGGATGACTGGGTTGAGCACGGCTTGGATGAGGAGGACTGTGAGGATGACGGGGGATGCGAGGAGCGTGAGTGGGAGAACAGATGATGGATGTTGATGGCGATATCGATGACAAGGACGATGACACATTTGATGTTGATGAAGACGACGATGACATGATGACGGTGGTGGTAGGTCTCATGGTTCTGATGATGATGCAGCTGACGACGATGATGCTGATGCTGCTGCTGCTGCTGCTGATGGTGCTGATGATGATATTGCTGCTGTTGTTAAGCCCCCAGTGTTCCAGGAGGGGAAAAAACACACAGACACAATTAATCGTCGATTCCCCAGAAGATATGGGAAAATAGGGGAAGTGGGGGGGAAGACAAGAACCCAGAAAACATTGGAAAATAGGGGGAATGTTTTTATTTGTGTGTCCTGGGGCCCCTTCAGTGTGCCAACACGAGCGTGCATCCTCTCCCCCGCCCGACGTCCGCGGCCACCTGGGCTCCGGCGCTCGGCCGTTTCTTTAAATACCGGTGGGGCGCGGCAGCGGGCCCCTTGTGGCTTGGGCCCCAGACGCCGCGCCGCCGCGGAGCGAGAAGTCTCCTCCTCCTCCTCCTCCCTCTCCTCCTCCTCCTCCTCCTCCTCCTCCTCCTCCTCCTCCTCCTCCTCCTCCTCCTCCTCCTCCCCTCCCTGGCGCCTGCCATGCCGTCTCGCTGGAGGAAGGCGGATGGGGCCGGCGGAGAAAGGCAGAGGATGGTCGAGAGCGTGTGGCGGCGTTCTGTACGACCCTCGGGGACGGGAGCCAGGCCGCCAGGCGGAGGACCGCGGAGACAGGTCGAGGGCCACTCCGGGACGGAAGCCAGGCCGCCATGCCGGCGGAGTCCCCCTGTCGCCGAGTTTGCAGTCTGGCGAAAAGGGTTGGCAAGAGGTTTGGAGGAGGACGCATGACGTCTGAGTTCACCGCCGAGATGAAGTGTCCACGTTTCGCGTATCTTCACCTGTCCTGCTTTTTTCCTTCGCAGGTGGTATAGCCTGCCCCTGCTTGCCCGGCGTCTGACTCGGTTCGTGCGCCTGCGAACCCAAAGGTATCCGCGCCTGCCCGTCCCGAAAGAACACATGTTGCGACGCACACCAGCGGTCGTGACTTTCGGGCGTGTCTCCTCCTGCTCTCGCATACCTCCTCCTATTCCGCCCACCGCCTGTCACTTTCTGTTAGACATTCTTGTGGGAGCAGTGGAAGGAGGACGAGGCGGGGCAGGAGGAAGAGAATTCGATGGGAGGAGAGAGGCGAAAATCTACGACGATGACGATGACCACAACAACGATGTCGGTTCCGAGTCTGCGCCGCCCGAGCCCGCGGCTGTTGGAATGACTCGGGCTGCTGAATCAGGATGGGCCCGCGACCGCAAGCGTAACCCACTGGTGTTGAGGACCGCTTGCCAACGCGGCCTCCGACCCAGCTGCCCGAGGAACTGGGGCGCGTCTGGCCGCGGATGGGGCGCGCCGCGTACGCGGTACACGCGGCCCGGATTAGTAGGTCGACCCTGCCAGATCAAGGGTGCTCTCGTGTCCTGTGTCTTGCGACCCATGCCTCCTGCATTTCTGTGGAAACGTGGCCCTCGGAAGAGTCTCGTGTCCTCTCGCGTGTCCTTTTCCAATCAAGTCCGACTGTACGACGATCGCGCCGAGGCTGGTACTGGCGTGGGTGACCGCGGTCGCGGATCCAACTCAGGAGGCGGGGGGAAGCGCCGAGAGAGGGCTTGCGCGCGCCTCCGAGGATGACCGTGCTTGCAAGTGCCATTCCATAGGGAAAGGAAAAGGGCACGGGCGGGAGTCATGCCAGAGGGTGTAGTTGCACAGATGCTTCATCTTCCGGGAACTGGTGGAATGATTGGAGCTCCTGGTGGACCGGCGGAGATAGTAGTGGAAGCGCTGGCGGACGGTCGACTGATGATCGGCGGCGGAGTCGTATTGATCGCAGAGCAGGAACGCGGGGCGAACCAGTGGGGTGATTGCTCACGGTGCCCAAGTTCGAGTCGAGGTTGGGACGGGAGCTCAGGTGTGATCGAGGTCAAAAAGTGCTGCAGGGAAAGGCCGCTCCCGCTGAGCGAACGGCGCCGGGTGCCTCGAGGGCCTGTCTAATCTAATTCGGGGCTTCGTCGAGCAACCAAGCCTTCACTTCGGCAGCAGGAGTAGAGAGTACTCGGATGGGCAGCACTGTAAAGTTGTTTTTGGGGCTGGCGGGCCATGGTGAAGTGTGCTGAAACCTGGCGTGTGGGTGAGGTGGCTTCGGGGCCTGCCGCGGGGGGAGTCGTTGCCATCGCTCCTTCAGCCTCTCTTTTGAGCATCCATTCGCGCGACGCTGCGCGGGTTTGGTTCAAGAAGCTGGCAAGAAAGACTGGGCGCTTTCGCGTCTGCCGGGCGAAAGTGCACCCGCTTATGTTTCATCGCGCGCGCATCTCCACCCATATATTCATCTTTCACATGCAGGAATATCAAATCCATATCGCACGACATCGGTAAGGAACCGACCATCCGCAATATCCACGATAATAATTTCCCTGGGATAAGATGTGAGGTCAAGGAAGGCGCTCGATCGTCGGGGAATGGCGCCTTCCTGATAAATTCTTGGCGGTGGTGCTGGCGTCATGACGTTTGTGATAGCGATGATGCCGATGATTATTATGGGTGTTATGGTGACCAGGTTGCTGCAACTGATGGATGACGATGGAGCCGCTGACGATGACGACGACGCTTATCACGATGATGATGTTGATGTTGTTTGCGATGATAATGACGTTGATGATGACGACGATGGTGATGATGATGGTGATGATGATGATCATGATGATGATGATGATGATGATGATGATGATGATGATGATGATGGCGATGGTCACTGTGGTGATAGTGATGGTGGTCATGGTGACAAGGATGGTCAGGATGATGCTGGTGGCGGTGGTTGTGTTGGTGGTGATGATGATGGTGGTGATGATGAGGAGGAGGAGGAGGGGGAAGAGGCGGAGGAGGAGGGAGAGGGGGAGGAGGCGGAGGAGGAGGAGGAGGACGAGGAGGGACAAAGTAAGGAACACGAGACCATGGAGGTGGAATAACAAAAGGATGTTGATTCATGATGATGATGATGATGATGATGATGATGATGATGATGATGATGATGATGATGATGGTGGTAATGATGATGATAATGATGCTGATGATGATGATGATAATGACTTTGATGATGCTGATGGCGGTAGGGATGATGATGATGTGGAGGATCATGATGATGATGATGGTGGTGGTCATGACGATGATCATGATGATGGTAGTGGTGATGATGATAATGGTCGTGGTGGTGATGATGATCATGATGGTGATGATGTTGCTGCTGATAATGATGCTGCTGATGATGATGACGATGATGATGCTGCTGATGCTGATGTTGGTGATGACGATGCTGATGATGATGCTGATGCTGGTTCTGATGCTGATGATGATGGTGATTCTTGTGATGGTGATGGTAATGGTGATGGTGGTGATGATGATGATGGTGGTGATGATGATGGTACATATGATGCTGATTATGATGATGATGCTGATGATGATGCTGACGATGATGATGATGATGATGATGATGATGATGATGATGATGATGATGATGATGATGCTGTTGTTGATGATGATGATGATGATGCAGATGATGCTGACGATGCTGTTGATGATACCGACGATGAGGATGATGATAAATGATGACGACGATGATGGTACACATGATGATGATGCTGATGATGATGAAGCTGGTTGCGATGATCATGCTGATGCTGATGCTGATGCTGATGCTGATGATAATGGTGATGATGGTGATGATGATGGTGAGATGGTGATGGTGATGATTGAAGTGATGATGATGATGCTGATGATGATGATGATACTGATTATGATGATGATGGTACAGATGACGATGATGATTATGATGCTGCTGATGATGTTGCTGCTGATGATGATGACGTTAGTGCTGGCCCTGATGCTGATGCTGATGATGACGATGACGGTGATGATGATGCTGACGATGATGATGATGACGATGATGGCGACGATGATGTTGCTCATGCTGATGATGATGCTGATGCTGATGCTGATGATGCTGCTGATGATGATGTTGATGATGACGATGCTGATGATGATGGTGAGGATGATGGTACAGATGACTATGCTAATGATGATGATGATGATGATGATGATGATGATGATGATGATGATGATGATGATGATGATGATGATAGTGATGATGCTGCTGCTGCTGATGATGATATCCTGATGATGAAGATGTTGATGATATTGATGATGATAATGATGACGATGATCATGATCATTCTGATGATTATGATGATGATTCAGCTGCTGCTTCTGATGATGACGATGATGATGACAATGATGATGCTGATGCTCATGCTGACGCTGATGATGGTGACGATGATGATGCTGATGCTGATGCTCATGCTGATGATTATGATGATGCCGATGCTGCTGATGATGATGATGATGACGGTGGTGATGATGATGATGATGCTGATGATCATGGTACATATGATGATGACGATGACGACGATGCTGATGATGATGATGATGAAACTGATGATG